ATTAATAATGAAATTGCAAACACTTGTTTGTATATAAAATGTTTACTATGCATATTTTGTGTGTGTTATGTAGTTTAGCTGTAAACAAAAAAAGAATAGCGGCTTTTTAGGCCTACAGGGGATTTTTTTACCGCTTTAAAAGACTTAAAAGAAACGAATCTAAATGCAATACCTCATGGGTGGATTTGGAAATTTGCATTAATAATAAATTGTTGGCACAAATAAGTACCTAATGGAAATTTTGAACCACAATATATCATATGGATTAAAGGTAGTATTTGTATTGTAATAAACCAAGTATCAAAACTATAAAAGAGTAATTACAGTAGCAGTGGTGTGTATCATAAAAAAAATTGGTGTTGCTCAAATAATTTTAGGTGACCTACACTTCATAATACTGTTATACCGACCTATAAAATTTCCTATTTTTCTTCTATCAATAATACCCACCCACCCATTTTAATGTGTTGCCTGAGCAACACTTGGACTCTATTTTACACGCAACTGGACAGTAGTGTTAAGGTATAGTTTTAATTATATCAAAAATATGTGCAAATAATGATAATGTACCTAAACAATTTTAAACAGCAGTGTACATACGTTATGGTTGGTGGGAGAGGGTAAATATGTTAATAGGTATGTAGACAACACAAAAATAAGTTATGAAAGGGGCACTTATATTTATTTAACATTGTGTTGATTAAATGTTAAATGATAAATATTTTAAACCCATTGAACATTGAATCACAATGTTACTTATCGTCAGTCTAATTCGCAAATCGCTTAACTCCAAAAATGCGATTCAGGGATTATTAGTGATTAAAATGAGAAAAAAAAACCGCAGCGTTTAAAATCAACCTCGTTTCAATCAAATAATTATTTTTCCATGAAACAGCTGTTAAAAACTCGACGTAATCAGTCCAACTCCAAGGCGATAAAAATAAATAGAAATTGTCTTATCTCTATTACTTATGAATTATGATTACTAAATTAAGTTTTTAACAAATAATATTAACACGTTTTTTCTTGAATCTTGTTTGACTTCTAAGTTTTATTATTTAATACATTTTATAATGTATATTAGTGTATTTATCTAGTTGTAATATTTTTTATTTAATCATGACGTCCAGAATGAGAGCGAAAAAACTTCTAAGTTTGGCTCAAAAGAATAGTTTATTCCTTCCAACAAAAACAAATGCTTTACCATTACAATATAAAAATAATAAAAACTCAACTGCTAATGAACAGAAAGATTGTGAATTCGTGAAAGATTCTAAAGGTAAGGGCTTAATAAATTCAAATAATATATAAGTTATAAAAAATAATGTCAAAGAGATATAAATTATAAAAACTTAGTACAAATAAATAATAATATATTAGCTACTATTAAATTGTTTTTTTGTTTTTACCTTTGGTTAATTTGCAGCACATAATGAAAATGTTAAAAATGTTGAAAATGTCATAACTGAGAAGCTACCAGTTGACTGGATTGATATTAATAATATTGTTCAATTTGAAAATCATTATAATAATATCATAGAAGAGGTTAATATGTTGGTCGATGCCGATTGTGTACCCACAGAAGAGACAGGTGATGTTGATATGTCTGTAGGTTTGTCTGACCTAACTTATGGTCCTTTAGCAGATGAAAACGATAATTATCTTATTGATAATGTTGTGTTTACCAATACCAATTATGTACCCCCTGAAGAAATAAGTGGTGCAGATATGGCTGAAGATGTATCTGATCCAACTTATGATCCTGAACTAGAAGAAAATGATGAGTTGATGAATACCAATGATGAGCCCCCTACTTACTCAAAAAATTAAAATGAAAAGAGAAAAATTTGAACATCTACAACAATTAAAAATGTCGATGGAAAAGGATTACCTATCATTCTTTTTATGATAATTTACCTAAAGATTAAAACAAAAATGTGATTTAACTAATAATTATATTTTACTATACCAAAAGACTGGGAAACTATATTGTATGTTATTAATTATTAATACACTACTTAAAATATTCACTCTTATTAAAATTTCTATTGTTAATGTTATTTAATTGTCAAGATTTATAATATTATTCATGATCTTTTACTATACCAAAGGTTGGAACATCATATTTTTTTTTTACTTAGTTACTTATTTAATCAAAATGTTACCTTATTTTACTACTGTTGAATTTAATAAACATATTGTGATTTTTAATTATTTAAATTTTTATTCATGATGTATTTGATTTTAAAAGTGTTACTATTATTTATATACTTGTTTATTATATTTTTAATTTTTAAAAATTAATTTGTTAATCTAATTTTTATTGTTAATGTTATATTTTAATTGTCAAGATTTATAATAATATTATCAAACATTGTGGTTTATAATACTATTCATGATCTTTTACTATACCAAAGGTTGGAACATCATAATTTTTTTTACTTAATTACTTATTTAATTATAATGTCACATTATTTTACTACTGTTGAGTTTAATAAACATATTGTGATTTTTAATTAATTACATTTTTTATCAAAGAGATAAACATAAAACCATTATAAATAATTTAGAGAATTATTTTAAGTCTTAAATGTTTTTTTAAAATTAATGAGACTTTTTCGTTTCCCCTGAAAACTAGTAAATATGGTTTATTTAAAAGTACTAAATCATTCAAATGATTTAAGTAATATTAACCTAGCAATTAATAGAATTAACTACTTTCTAACTCAGAAATAGTAAAAAAAAAATTGTGATGATATATATAATAGTGTATTACAATATATTATTATTATTAAATTATGATAACATAAAATTATGAAATTCGCGCGGAAATTCAAATGGGCCAATCAGAAGGCTCAATTGGTTTATAGGTGCCGAGACCGTCCACAGAATGCTAATATGCCCACGGGTTAGGTTGAGATTAATCATTGTCAAGAACGATAATTTTTTTTAAGTTTTTGAGTCCCCTTTCTTTTATTTTTCCAATTCGAATACTGCCTGTACATATTATTTCATATTACTTGCCCATTTGATTATTGATGTACCTACGTACTTGACAATTACACCTCTAGTAAACCCACCGAGTCGTTTTCCTATATATTAAATATTATAATTACATTCTCACGATGTGGCACGCTGGACAACAACAAGACTATTAATCTTTTTTCAATACCTTGGGTTTGGCAGCGCACTTAACGATTAATGTACGAATCTTCGCTTTACCAAAATAATGCAAAAACAAACCTATAAAGGCACTCAATCTTCGCATGGCCAAAGTAATGCGAAAGCATTAACATTAAAAGCATTAATAGGTTTTCGCAGAAACGAACTATTAAATTGTTATAGTTCAGGTCTTTTGGCAATAACAGCATCTAGCTCCGGCTCCTTTCAGATATCCATCTCCTTGACTCTACTGTGTACATCCGCATAGATTTCATATAAATATAAGATGATGTCTATAGCAAAATTAGAATTAGTTTAGAGTTTGCACTACGTACATACTGTACGTAACTAACTTCTCGGGCAGATGCTTTTCGCTCTGTCCTCAAATTTATATTACACTTAATTGTGATCATTTACTTTTTAAAACCTTAATAAAACTACTTATACCTAACTTGTGTAACTTGTCTCTGCAACCTTTACTCCTATTCAACCGTCAACGTCTTTGAACTCAAAAATATAAGCGTTAGTGAGGGATCACTACAAACCAGTCGTTAGTAACCTGCTTTGGAAATTTAAATCTTTAATTTATTTTATTTTATTTCCATAAATATAGAAACTATTACCATATTTTTAGTTAGTTAAAAAACTATATATTAAATTATTGACGCGGCTATTGGTTAGGTAACTACGCATTGGTTAATTACGTATAGGTGAAAAAATAATTATTAGAAATATTTTAAAGCTACTTAAGTTTTACTTCTTAACAATGATTTTTCTTCTCTGAAATCATCAACAAGTGGGTAACTAATAGTTAATACCTATTAAATAATTATCATAAATGAGTAACCTATATGATATACTATAAATGATATAACCTATATGACAGGGATTGCAAATCCATGGCACGCGGAAAATTAAAATATTTATATTATATATAATTTTTATTTTTAATAATAAATAACATCACAAATCACAATGTATATATTAATATCTACAGACTACAGATAAAATTGAATAATCGTTATTTATCGATAAATAGCCGTATACTGTTAGGTAATATTTACCTAATTTTTTATGTGCCTCTTTTCGTAAAGTAAATATATAATGGCACTAAAAAAAAGCATTTTTTGGCACCTAGCGTCAACATATTTCAGAATATTTTATTGCAAACTAATTTTGAAAATAACTAGGTGGAGTAGGACGTAGGTACAACATTATGTATGTACTACTGGGTAAAATAAGTAAAAACACAAAGCAATGCAAACAGTGATTAAATTATTAATTAAAAATTAATATGCATTTACAATTACAAATGTTATTAAAATAATTGATATAACTTATAATGTGAACTTATAATGGATTATGGGCATATTATGTTATTTTTTTACGAGTTATTTTACCTTTGGCTAAAAATATATGATAGGCAAATACAAATAACTGGCCAATTACAAAGTTCCTAATATAAGGTATAAATAATTTAAATTTAGCCAAGGGATGAATAGGCCGGATTGATTACCCAAGCTAGTCAGCGGCCATTCATTAGAAATCAAAAATTTTTATAATCACGCCATGAAACAGTTTTAATTATTATTTATTTCAGGAGGTCTTCCGACTATAATTATAATAATATTATAACTACTTAATATATACATTTATAAATTATCACTACCTAACAATACCTACTAATAAATACCTAAATATCAAGCTGAACTGCGTTTACAAAACAACGGGGGAACGAAAAAAATAAATATCGTTTGGTGTAAATTAAAATCATAATAATTAATAGCCTAGTGTATTATACAATACTACAACTAGTGTCTACATTGCAGTGTATCCGGCTATGCGGTAATCGGTTGTGGTTTATATAGCTGTCTTAGGTGCGCCACCGCGTCCAAGGACCCGTCGCCACTGCTACCCATCACTTCACCGGAGACAACGTTATTGCTTTCATCGTCCGCCACGTACCCAGGGCTCATTTGCAGCCGCCACGCGTTCAGCCAGTCCTTTGGCTTGCCGCCACTTGAGCCACTGCCCTGTCCGACGGTCGCGTGTCTCTTATTCGCCACTGCGGGTGCGGAGCCGGTGTTCGCCCCTGCACTGCCACCGATGGGTAACGTGTTGGTTTGCGGCCCAAGTTCCAACTGGAACTGCACGTCTGCATTCGGACCCAGCCGAAAACCCACGCCCAATTTCGAGTCGGTACCTGAAAACGAAAACAGAATTATATATAATCCGATGAAGACGTCCGATCAATCGTTAGAAAAACGTGTGATTTTGATAGGGTAAGTACGGAAAAAATCACTAAAAAACCTTAAACATAGTAGGTACCTATGAATTTATATGATTGTGTATGCTCCTAGTTGTAATTCTGTAATTAAAGATCACAAACCAATAACTTAAAAATATAAGCATGACAATTTCAAAAAGATGTGCAATTCTAATTAATTTCTAATATATTAGGCTAATTCAATGGTAGAAATATTAGAGGAATGGAAAAATGATTCTATACCATTAGGGTATAAACTTGTAAGTTAAATGTTATATTTATTAAATATATTAAACATTAAAAACATTTAAATTTATGAATTAGGTTGATATTAATTTCCATGGATTGTATTAGTCATCTACCATTCCAGATTTATGTGAAGTCTTCATGAAGTCGTACGATAATATTCTACAAAATACAAATAGTAGAACATTATATAAAAGATAAAGATGGTAAATTGTTACTTCAAGAACTCAAAATAAATAATGATCTTACAGAAATTAATACGAATAATCAATTTTATTATATACCATGCCAAAAGTTAACTCAAACCACGTACTGTTATTTAGATGGTAAAGACTGTACACTTTTACACCTACTAACTTCTTTATTTGTGCCAACATCACGTAAAATAACCAAAGATGATAATGGAAAGAACAATTTGACAAAATATTCCATAAAGGATTCACAAAAGAGCTTTATTACTTTTCATAATTCATTCACTGAATCTGAAAATTATTTAGAAAATTTAAAAAATAAAAAAATTCCGATACAACCTTTTATCATAGTAATTGGTACACCAATAAAACCAAATGAAATTTTAGTCTACTTTGATGCAATAAAATATGAGGTTTTTAATATTACCAGTGCAATCGATATATGTTTTAAGCTTTTTAACATGTTTAATTTACAATATCTTTGCAGTCATGTGCAGTTTGGATGTTTATACAAAAATTGTATTATAATATATTTACTAAATATGATACACCACACCAATTGGTAACTCAAGTGTTACACTGTTTGAAGAAAAAAAAATAGTAAATGCATGCATGAAATCTAAGGTATTAAGATATTTTTGTCCATAATTTTATTACATTCAATTAATGTATGTAAAATGTAAATACTAAATTATTATATAATTTTGTCGATAGTTCTTTGTTATTAAATTTCTTAAGTAGTTCTTTATAGTTTTTCTTATATGAAATTGCTTTAGTTCTTTTCTTTAAACTAATTTCATAATTTCAACGTTTTCATACAAATTCAAAAATATTAAGTTATTTTGTATACTATTTTTTAATATAAGAAAATTATTCATCTATATATACTTTATAGATTTATTTTCTGAACATTATTTTTTATATAATTGAACTAAGTGTTTTTTCATATCTAAATTATTTGTTATTGTTCTATTTCCTCTTTCAATTTACTCTATACAATTCTTAAAATCTAGATATTATAATTTTACTAAACATTTATAACTACCTAATGTCTTCATTAAATGTATGTATCTAACTACTAAGTATTAATTAATTTTGTTTATAGGTTTTACATGAAATTGCTTTAGTTTTTTCTTAAAACTAATTTAATAATTTCAATGATTTTTTCAAAGCTATAAAATATAATGTTATTTTATTTTATATTTATATAATTATCTGTATTTTATAGTGTTATAATAAATAATTTGGGGGACGAGGTGGCTGAGCGGTCGAACACGTCGTCTGCGGCGATGGCGGTCGCGGGTTCGATTCTCTCGACCACTGGGCGGCATTTTTCTCCGGGAAGTCACGGTGTCCGGAGAACAAGTGCCGCCATCCCCCACTCCGGGGCATGGCAGAAACCTACGGGTGCCCCAAAAGAAATTCTGCCAAACACAACACACACGTGTAATAACCCTACAGTTTCAAACCCTACTACCTAAAATCATAACCCCACAATCAAGCTAATGGCCATAGTCGCCGGGCTTCAAAAAGATCAATTAAAAAAAAAAATAAAAATAATTTTACATTAATATTTTTTTAATTTACTGATTTCACTGTTTCAATGATGAGTTTATTAAATATTTGTACAACCAGTTTTTTACAATAAAATAATAAATATTTTTTTCAAGTTGAAAAACAAATTTTTAGTAATCCAAATTCTTATTTAGTTGAATATTACAATAATTTTTTCGAGACAATAAATATTTTGTCAAATTGATAAATTATAGGTACAGCCTAATTAATTTATTATTAATTAATAATGTATTTTCTCAAGGTGAAAAAGTATTTATCAATAGTATTAAATTAAATTTATTGATGTAATATATAATTTATTAAATTGATATAAACAAACTTTCAATTACCGAACTGACAAATTTCTATTTATCAATTTGATAAAAGCGTTTATGGGGTCATTATTAATGATATTTTTGTCAAATTAATCTATATTTTTATTATATTGATCGTTCATTCTGGTTCAATGTATTTTATAAGAATAACAATAAAACAAAATAACCATCATAATATTAATTATAATGTTTAACTTATATTAAAGTAAAATGACAATTATTTAAATATGTATTAATAGAAAAGATTTTCTATTTTTCAAAGTTTGTTGCCATCTACAATGTTCTAAATAAAAGTTATAAAGTAATTAAATAAACATAAATTTAAAAAAGTTGGGTAATTAAGTGGTACCACTCAGCTGTACAGAAGTCGTTGTAATGGATGTGTTATACTTGAATATAATGATAGATCTGATCTCTGAGCGGAGACGTTGTGTCAGTGTATCATACTTGTATAAATAATAAAATGTAAAAGTTAAAAAAAAAAATAATAAAAATCTAAAATATTTCATGGTTATAAATAGCGTAACATTCCAGTGATTTTTTTTTTTTTTTTGATACAGGTGTCAGAGAGAAAAACTTGTTGGGAATCTTTCATTCAAATTTCTACTTTTTGCTAGGTAAACTTTTATGATTTACTTAGGTACTGAATAATAATTAACACAATTTTAAAAATTTCTCATGGCTATAAATAGCTCAGAAAGAATCAAAAAAATTTGAAAATTTAATGATATATGAAAAATCATCATTTTAACAGTTGGTGAAAATGTTGAGTATCTATTTCTCTGGTTATTTACTTTTCAATTACAACAAAATATCAAAAAACGATACATGAAAATTCGTTAATTTACCTGTACAATCTAATATCGTAAAAATTTTAAATTCAAACGCTCATAAAAAGTTAATGTACGTTCCGGTTTTTTTTTTGTTTAAGGTATCAAATTTTTAGGGAATTTTCTATTGAAGTTTCGAATGCAAGCTATGAAAAGAAAAACTTTCATGACTTCCTAACTGAAAAAAAATTAGAAATTATGATGAATTTTGTCAAAACTTGAACTTAAAATGCATATAAAAATAATCATGCCTATAAATCTTAAATATTTTTGAACTTCCACTAATGACACTTATAAGGAACATTGCATTAAATTTTCAAGCATTTTAAGAATAATTTTAAAAAACTTTACAAAATTCTAAAAATGTCTCTAAAAGTTCCCACTTTATTTTCACTTTTTTTTTTGTTTTTCAGGATGCTTTCAAAAACTACTGGGAATTTAAGATTTTTATCACTCAAAAGTACCAACTATATTCACTTTTCTATCAGAAAAGATGCTGATCCCAAGAATCCGAGCATTTTTACTACCCCAGATTTTGGTGACAGAGAGAAAAAAAATGAAAAAAAAATAATATATTATTGTAAATACAATACATTCTTTTGCTCCGCTCACAATCTGAATGTCGAGAAATATTTTTTTTTACTTTTAAGTAAGACTTTAAACTATATATTTAAGGCCTATAATAGCCTAATAGCGAGTTTATTTCATTATTTTTACTTTTGATGAACAATTTAATATAGTGATAAATGAATTACAAAAGTTGTAAGACAAATTAAATAACAATTATTAAAAATTTATAATTCAAAAATATTTACTAGTTATACAACAAATTACTTGCGTAATTGTTATATGCGGGGTTTAATAAGGAAAAGCGTACATAGGGGATATATTTTGGCCACCCATTAATTAATCAAATCAAAATTAATTTTAAATTATTATAAATTTACATTACAAAAATACAAAATATACTCATTGGTCTTGAAATATAATGTTATATACCTACCTATCATATATTTTATATTTATATAATAATAAAAATTATATATTTATATCTATTCATAAAGCAATCAATATCATATTACATTGGTACTCAATCAATATTATACCTATAGTTATAGTATATAATATATTATATTTATTGTTTTATCGATCTTTACCTTTCTTGATCGGTGGCATGTTACTGTAAACTACAGACAACAACGATGGGATTTCTTCAGGTACAAAAATAGTTGCATTTACGTCTGTAAAACAATAAAAACATCAACATCATTAGGTTACAGAAATACACAAAATGTTAACTTGATAATTGCAATTATCCTCGTCACATAGGTAATCGAGATAATCTTTCAACGATTAGGTATAAACAATTAATTAATTTCATCTTTTTTATCAAGGCAATATGAAATTAATAACAATTTTCAATATCCGTAATTTTTCTTTTTTCGGTTTTCAAAATGTCCCTATAGGGGAATTGGTACTAATATATTTTTGACTTTTACTCAATAACATTGTACAAAACACTTTTTCCTATCTTATACAGAAAGCAAATATTATAATGTAATTATATATTAGGTTGGCACCTACATAGTAACATAATATAATAGTATTATTAGGTAAGTCATCAAGGGCACAGTATGCAGAAAACCAATTTAAATTTTGTTAGAAAAATAAATATTCCTTTTTCACACAACCACATTAATAATTTACTGATCATATGTGATGCAATATTTTTCATAAAAATATTAGATATCTGGTATAATAACTATACTTATTTATTAAATTATAATATGCTTATAAAATTACATACAATTTCAAAGAATAAAATAACGTGCTAGATAAATATTCTAAAATAAAGATTATTGTGATTGGTAAATAGTTTTACAGTAAAATTAACGAAAACCGGGTAGTAGTAACAAAATGTCGAAATATATGTATTACAATATTAATTAATTTAATGTAGATACTTGGAATTCTGCTTCGTATAATACGACGTGCCTTCCTAAGTATTTTCGTTTTATTTAAAGACATGATAAAGGTATTTTTTTATTGATTTTGAAATCAAATTCATATCCATATCTTATAATTATAATATATGGCTTAAAAATGTCATATACACCCATGATCCATGAGTACATTGACTCAGTGGCGTATTTTTTTATTTTTATTTTGGTAGGGGGGGTATCTATGGTATCTGGACACCTCCCAAACGAAAAAAAAAATTTAATCTTTAATTTTGATAAATTTTAAAGGGAATTTGACAAACAAAAATATGTGGTTCGTTATGTATTATTTTAATATTATATAAAGTCCTAAACTAATTAAGAAAGAAAATAAATTTAGTTTTAAATAATGTACTTATTATCCTTTTATATTTTTAATTATTTATAAAATTGTTATTCTTATAGCACCAGTGGTATCGAATGTAACAAACAAAATATAAAGTAATAATTATTAAATCATTGTGACCGATGATGATAACTATATAGTAGGTACTAATGTATATTAATATGTTTAAATAATATTATGTTATTATTATCCTATTACAGTATACTACATGCAATTTATATTTTTATATTGCGGCTCCGTGCCTGCATGTGTCTTTTATACTTATTTTTCCAGGAGGAATTTGTGTATATTTAGATATTTATAAATTACAATGATGTTTTTTTTTTAATATATTTATACGTTGGATCTTAAATGTCCATGTACATTTACTTTAAAACAAATTATTATTTATCAATTAAATTTCAATCATTTTTCATTTAATCGTCGTCGAAGAAACAAGGCAGATAAAATATACAGTGAAATAGTAATATTATCATATTGTTGTCATTGGTGACTACCTAAATTATTTATAATATTTATTTTTCACAAGTGCACATAATTCGTAGATTAATATTCATTAAAATTATAACATTGTAATTAAGTATTTTTTAAACTAATAATATGCATATAAGCATATTATATAATATTCTTTATATAAATTATATAGAATCGTAATATTTTTAAGTAGGGATTTTTGCATCCTAAAACGGATGTTGTAACAACAGTATATAATTTAACACTCACAAGAGGACCGTAGTAGTACAGACTACAGAGTAGACAAGTACAGAATGGAATACAAAATAAGTCTATACTCTATACCTACTTCTACAGAGCAATTATCGGGGCATCATAAATCATTATTAATAATTGTTATTATTATACTAGGTATTTTTTGCTATTTGCAATTAAATTTAAAAGTTACCAATGATAATGATTTGAAGGAATTGAGCTTAAAAAAAGGCTTCTTGAATTTATGATTTAAATTAATTTATATAATACTTTAAGTGTATTTATTATTTTCTATTTTAAAAATTATTATTATTTGCTTTTATTTTTATTTTTAAATTAAAATTATGTTTACAGTAGGTATTTTATACATGCATGATTTAAATTACATAAAAATTACTACTTTTAATTAAATAAATAAAAATGTTTCATTACAATATTTGATGAGTATATTATGAACTTAGTGGTAGTAGATGTAAAACAGAGAAATATTGCAACCGATTTACAAATAAGTATATACCTATATTATCTAGACACCCCCCACCAAAAAAAAAATAAAACACGCCACTGCATTGACTATAAGTTTAGGTTATATTATGTACACATATACATTAGTACTTATTATTATTTATATTAGTCAACGCGTGAATCATTTTACTTTCTTTATAAAAAAAAAAGTTGTGTGGCCCATGTCGCCCGACGACGCTGCTATAGTGCTACTTAATATTATAAATTACACAGTATGTTCCTACTCCTACGTATCTGAATAATATTATGTAGCAATGAGCCGAACATGCTATCCGTAACGATACTGATGAGAGTTTTACGACCAAACACTCGTCATACATCTACGCAGAAATGCATTTTTCTATTACTTTCTTTTCGTTTATAAAATCCGGTACTTTTCGGTGTTCGTAATTAAAATGTAATATGAGAAAAACATAGTATAAACATACCTACATCGTATACATGGCAAATGTATATTATGCATTATAATTTATAAAATATATCTGTTACAGTTAAAGTGTTGAATCGGTTAGTTTATGAAATAACTAGGTAGTTTATAAAATAACTAAAACTTGTAGGTAATGTATATAATTTATATTGTAACTAGTTAGTTTATACATTCCCTAGCATCACTTCGTTAATGTGTCAAATTGAACAAAATATCATGTACAATATCGTTATTTTACTATCCAATATAATAATAAATCAGATTAGACAGACGTCCTTGTTGTCGGTGACCGCAAATTCATGTACGTTTATCGTGTTATTATAAGATTATCGTTATTGGTATATGTATTATAAATAATAATATTATTAAGATTGTCAATAATATTGGTAAGGTTTAAAGTTTAGTAATAGTTTTAAGTTTTCACGTGTTTACTGTTGGTTCGTCTGCCTCTACACTATATTATTTTAAGTATTAATATAGTTCACAATGAATTCGAATGAATTAGATTTAATGAAAGAAAAGTTTTATATTATAGTGTTAAAAATCTGTTTAATGAAAACCAAATAGTGCAGTTTTAACAAAAGAAAAATATGCAAGTTGATGATAAACGTGAAAAAAATAAAAAAGGAATCTTCTCATGACTATTGGTTAGAAAAACATTGCGATATTGTAAAAATAAATATTAATGAAATATTAATTCTACCAGTGAGTAGTCAAAATGAATATGTTAAATTATATGTTATGATTGAAGAAATTTTTGATTATTTACATGAAATTCGTATTTGTATTGAAGACGGGGGTAAAGACCGCATGTGATATGAAATAAATAAACGTAATGAAAATATTACTCAATCTGATGTTAAGCAATACTTGGATTTGTGTATACCTTGCCATAAAACAAAAGGCACTGTTGTAAAATCAGTGGTGTTTGAAAATTTTAACTGCTGCAAATAATATAATTACAATTAATTCAGTAAAATAAAATATTTTAATATATTATTTAAAATTTTAATGTATTTTATACTTTAACGGATATCAAACTAAAATTATATAGAATAACTAGATATTCTATGAACTAACGAGTCAAAGTATAATTTTCATATATTATTTCATACTTTAACTAACATTCGTAGATAATTCATGAACTACCTAGTTATTTCATAAAATTACTGGATTCGACACTTTAGCTGTAACATATCGACTCCACGGTGCACAATATAATATAGCCATTTAAAATGTTCGTTTATTTTTGTTCCATTTCTATAAGATTTAATCGGTTATAAGACTCATTTTGTGATGGTCCAAATTTGAGTTCTATAAGCGGCGTCTACTGTAACTACAATGTAAGCAGCTCTTCTAGATATATTATATTGCTTTCATAATATTATATAGTAATAACTAATAATATATGTATTATTATGCATACATAAGTATAGGTACTCTCACTGCTGACGTGATCGTCTCTTAAACATTTTATCTAGGTAGGTACCTATATAACAATAATAAATATAATTTAACAATATATTATGTTAAGATTTTCTTTTGCGGAGATAATTAGTTTTTTTTAAGTACCTACATAATCAGTATAATATTATAAGCACACAAACAATATGCAATATGCACAATTCACATACACTTGCATCGTTACCCACGAGAAAAATGTTTTAATACACAGTGTATATCAATTGCCGTGATTCTTTTACACACAGTTATTTACCTTGCTTAATACACTGATTATAGTATTTAAAATTTTAAACAACAAAGTTCAGTACCTATAGTGTGGATAGTGAATAGAAATCAACGTACTCTCGAGAAAATGAAGTACCACCCCTGCGTTATATAGTATTACACTATTAGGTGGGAATAAAAATAATAAATTGGTGAAATTTTCTGGAACTATAATGTGATATGTGTGGTTAACAATAAAATCACAGATTCCCGTGATTGTTGTAATAATCAGTAAGTATAGAGAAATAGCTAATCAAAATTAATAATGTTTATAAAATGTATACCTACCATTAATAATATGATTTGTACATAATAATATATTACAATAAATCGTTGAAAATACACTTTTGTACATTTTTGTATATTATCCGACCTTTCTGAATTAGAATTAATATATTTTAGTTTTAATAAAAAACATGTAATGGCGATCGACCCTTCACGTTCAAATAAAAATCAAATGTAGGTACCTCCGTCCAACTCAACATTAGGAAGTCCCGATCTATATACTGTATATTATTATATATTTATGCCCAATATTATATATACATTTTAAGGTTAGTAAAAGCTATACAGGTATAAACACTATCTAATTATTGGATTTTGTAGATATATTGGAATAATTTGTACTTTTAACTCTACTTATAAAGTTAACTTTATACCTACATAAAGAATTACTGTCAGTAATCGTGCAAAGCAAATTTTTGATTTTGTTTTATAGCTATTAATCATTTCTATAAATTTGTTTAACCTATAGAGGCTAATTCCTATCTAAAATATTAATTATTATATATCGTTCCGTTATAATAGTAACTGTTTGTCTCTTTTTATGGTATGTTACAGTTTTTATTTGTCTTTTGAGTGGTTATTATAAAAAAAAGTAATTAATCAATAAAAAACTCGTTTTGTTTAAATCGTTGTATAGGTACTAGCTAACCTGCTAAATCGTAGTATTATATAGGTTTCGTAACATACCAATTACCGATGAGTGATGACTGTATGGATATACACAGGCTTCAAATCTTAACTAAATTATTATTAATAATTTTATCGCGTTTGAAGCAGAGGCTGAAAGGTACAGATGTATAAAATATAATACTTGGGTATCATAATAATGTCATTCGATAAAAATATTATTTGATCGAACAATTATATATAAAATTCAAGATATGCGTATGCGAGTTCACCATTGCAGTAGCAACAGGTAGTATTTTCAAAAAAATTACAAATCTAATATTTTACCAATAGTTATGTATTGGTCAAAATTTTTACAGCAAGAGTTGTAAGTCTTAATGCATCTAAAGTAAAAATGAGGTGTCGTTGGAAAACACTTTTGATTTTTGTTTAGACATACTAACGTTTGTAACTCGACGACTCGTACCTATAGTATTTTAGTTTTATAATGTTAGCAAAAACTATTTGATACATATGTAACTAAATACATCACCAAGTATACAATACACAATATAGCATTCGAATAATATGCTGTTAGCTGCAATTAAATTAGATTTTATGTCCTACATAGTAGTCACGGCCGGTCTCTATTAAATTGGAGTCCATGATTAATGATATTAATCAATAATCATATTATGTTATAAGTTGTAACTGTATATTATGTATATTATTATTAACATATAATATAACGTGGCGGGTTCACCGCGGTGACCTCAATCCAAAATATATTATGTTCGATACGTTGCGTTTGGACAGTGTCACCCAACACTGTAAGTAAAACTGACCGATTTATTTTGAAGAGTGGTGGAAAATGTCGAAAATACTTAAATACAAAACACATAGTCAACCGAAAGTAATCATCAATAATATTCTTTGACGATTTTTTTTATTTGATTACTTCGCGAGCACCGATTTATTATTATTATAATATAATATACGAAATACCTACGCTACCTCATTGTCGTAAAAACAGCCACTCAAACGTATTATATAAATATTTTGCAGTATGCGTTATAGCAATAAGCGAAAATGGATTGGAAAAGGGACGCATCGTACCAGGTTTTCGTCGTCTGACCCATGAACTCGGGATAAGGAACAAACATAATATTATTATTTGTATGATGTATTTTTTTATTCAAAGACGATGGTCAAACAACCAATCGGTGGGTTTTCTACCCATAGTTTCTACCCGGACGAACACGAAACGATTTATAGGCAATATATAGGTATACGAGAAGTTTTTGCTATAATATGTATTATATATAAATTAAAAGTCCTAGACAGATCATGCATACAGCATTTATATATACATTATTTTTATGAGTTTTGACAAAATATGTACAAGTACTTACGATATGTCGCGTAAAGCGTGATCAATGGCAGTACGATGAGACATGACAGTGGTGGTACGCGAGCCATCGTGCGGACGATAAGACTACGGGCCGCGGATTGTGATCGTAAAGAGGCTCCTCTCTCTCTCATACACACGCGCACACTGGTTTCCATTCCACTAAACTTTCACTTCAACGCCGTAATCGATTTCTTCAGTTATATCTGTCCAACACAGTGTCGTATTTAGTATTTTTTCCTAAACAAGGAGGGGGTACCTATTAATTTATCCAGTTCTCACTGATCTCGTGATGCTCGAGAGGGGCTCTGCCCCCTCACCACCAAGTAACCTAAAAATTGTGATAACTTAATAACTATAGCATTGCAAACACAAAATAGATACGTTTCAAAAATTATATAGTTGTTACCTGAGAAGAAAATATTTTAGTATACCTACCTGCATATAAATAAATACTTATGGAATTTAAATATTATTATATAAGATTAAATTAAACACATCATAATCATTACTCATTGTCCATAGACATCTATAAGTTATTACACAAAATCCAACTTTCTATTTATATACTTAACTCATCAATTATTTCATCTGGCATATTTTTTATATTCCATTGACAACGCGTGATATGCCAATAAGGCCAGCCTAATAATATCAGTATATGCGTGATCGTTCGGCTACCTAGTTGGGCTTTAGCTATATATAATCATATTAATTATACATATTTCACAGCACCTGTAATAACTGTATAGTGTCCCTATAGTAGTATAGTGAATACATTCAACGAAACAGATTTAAGGCTCAACGTACAGCGGATTCTCGCAGTCAGGCCGAATGGTATTATCGTTCGCGGATTTTTCGAGTACCACCGCACTTTTTTCCGTGCCTTGCTACGTCGCTGATACCCTATTCCCAATTTCTCGACTCTCAATTAGCTGACAGATCTGCTCAATAGAAAATTATAAAGCTTAATAAATTGTATAAAGGTTATATTAAGTACATAATATATATATATATAATATTATATATCTACAATCTATTTTATGTATATTCAAAATAAGTCAAAATGTTTGTTGTATAGAAAATGCTAAAATAAACATTCAGTCAAAATTTAATGTACCTACGGTAATTTGTTTAAGAGTTGCACCAAAAATCAAAATCGATTTTCTCGAAAACAGATTTTGCGTAAAAGTTTCCGTTTTCCTTAATTTTTCTTTGGTTTTTTACGGCGCTTCTGAAAACTACTGGGAAATTTTTACTTTTGACCCCTTTAAAGTACCATTCCTATCAGAAAAGATACTGTTGAAGAAAATCCAATCACTTTTACTGTCCTAAAAGGTGATGACAGATACAAAAAAAATAAAAAAAAACACATAATAATTGTAAAATCAGTACATTCATCGTTCCTCTCAGAATCTAAAATTGAACATTTTATAAATTTTTAACTATTAAATAATTTGTAAATTTTCAATTTGATAAATGTCGTCAACATTTTAACTTTAAATGTTTATAAAAAAAAAAACGTACTTGTGTATTTTTTTAAATATTTTTCAACTATTGTTGTAACAATATATTATCAAGAACCTTGTATTAAACTGTCAAGCTTGACAAAATGACCCAATGAATACAATTTTATTGACATTCTATAGAAAAAAAACTAAGAAAAATGGTGGGCAACTGGGTGTCGGTCTGGTTTTAAATATTCAATTCTGAGATTTATAAATAATGATTTTTATGAATTTCTAACTCAAAATAATGTTCACATATTCGTGATTTTTACGTATTTTTCAAAAATTGAACTTTAAATGCTTCTTAAACAAAACTGTTAATATGTATTTATGTATTTTTAACATTGTAACAATATAACAGGATCCTGGTTTTAAATTTAGCCCAACGAATAAGATTTTAGTGACAAATGACAATGGAAGAAAAAAAATGAAAAAAAATCGAAACTGAAAATGTCCTTAAACAGCTCAAAACAATTCAAAATATTTTGAATGATTTATCAAGTATAGTAAATGATAAAAAAATCATTTGGAGTAAATTTAAAGTATTTACGGTTATTATTTTTTGAATTACAAAAAAATATTTAGACAATCGTTGTATTATAATTTGTTAATTTATGGATGAATATCGAATGTCTAACTTCAAACTCACGAATAAATTAATTTTACTTATTTTGTTTTATCCTAAATGTATTTAAATGTATTGAAACTTAAGGGGAATCTTGTATTACATTTTCAAAGCTACGATATAAATAGAAAAATTTTATAAATTTCTAATTCAGAATAATTTGCCAGTTTTCGTGATTTTAATGAATTTTGTCAACATTTGAACTTCAGACAATCATAAAAAAATATTCAGGATCTACGCTTAACTTTTTTTTTTAATTTTCACTAATTACGACTTATGAGGAACGTTGTACTATATTTTCAAGTTTTTTGACTCAACTTAAGACATTTTATAATAATTAAACAATAATTGGCAATTTTACTGCAGTTGTCGCTGTTGCTGTTGACGTTATCTGTAGGTACTATTGAACGAAAGTCGCCGACATCAGGTCATCACCTGACGCCGTCACCGAGAAGAAATCTGACGTCCAGGTCCCGGATCATGAAGTAAGTCTGCTTGAACTTATGACGGCAGCCAACAACAGAGCTGTCTTGCTTCTGTATGGATTTGCGCTTCTTTCGATCTGTCATTTGCATCGTGAGCATATTATATAATATATATGATACCAATGCTACCAGAACAGCGACTAGTAGTAGGTATTATAATTTACTAAGAAATGACTACTTACAGTTCATAACAAATACGTTTATGTTACACTGAAAAAAAAGATGTTCATAATAAAAATAAACACCGTTTATTGATCATTTTTTTTGACACAACGATTTTTTTTACTATTTCAACAAAATGTTGCTTATTGATTAATAATAATTGTGGTTAATATTATAAACTTGTGTTTGTGGACACAATTAAAATTTACTCATCAGTTGTACACAATATATTTATTAAAATAATAATTGATGATATTAAAACGATAAATAAATGGTTTATTACTTAAATAAGTGAAATAGTTAAACTAGCGAATTTGATTATCCTATTAATAAACGGAATTAATATTTCATAAAAGTATATTTTTTATATAAATAAACGTTGTAGTTGATACAACGTATTTTGTAAGATTGGGTAAAAAATTCATATTTATAAATACCATAAATATTATGCATTATATTAAAAATAATGTTATTGATTCGGTTATCAATAATAAAAAATTGTAATAATAACGTACAAGATTTTGTTATTAACAACCCAGTTATCATTATCGTTATTCATTATTTTAACACTGTGCTCAGTCCGTTACTCCGTTAACGGTTTCCTTATAAGAAACAAGTTTGGTGTTTTTAAAAAAGGTTGTGTTTCGTCGTTTAAGTCTTTTCGTCGCATTCAACAAAAAGCCAAGGTAAGTTATATACAAATATATTATTAGTATAATTATTTATTTATATTTTAAACGGAGTGGGCCCAATTTTTTGTTAACTCAAATGTATGTGCATAATAAGTGTGTTTTTGTTTTTCGGAAATTGTTAATTTTGAAAAAAAAATGAAAATAATATTATTATGTATGTTTTGCTATAATATTATACAAACTGATTAAATTTAAAATGAAATATTTCCTGGAAAAATTTCGTATTGGGAAATAATTATTAGGTATTTAAATTGGTCTTTATTATATGCTAAAATATACCTGCATTTTATTTTTTAGGAATATTACAGAACTGCAAAGAGAGGCAAAATTTACAACAAATTTTATAATCTCACAACAGCATTCAAAGTGGTATCAGGTCATCTGGAACACTCAGCAGAGAAAATATCTTCTGTTAATTCAGATAAATTCAGCAGACATTTAAAAAATTTCGGTAAAATAGCATTATTTATTAATTATTACCTATACTTATAGACTATATTGTAAATAAATAATATTATTTTTCAGAGCCAGAAAATGATGCTGAAAGCTGTATTAAAGCACTTAAGTTTGATAACATAAGTTCATTTGAATTTGATTGTACGTGGAAGGCTTGTTGTAATTCACGAATTCAATATATTAAAAGCAATACCACTAAAGAGATTGTGATTGTGATTTATATAATATATTATATTATATTATATTGTTTCATCTCAATAATCTTATATTTTCCTTTAAGCTTTTAAAGTATTTGTAAAGGTTTGTTATTACCAATTTGTAACATTACTCAATTTATTTTATAGTGAAATTTATTATACATTTATTACAAATATATTTGTATGATCAATGTTTTGAATTTATTAATAAAATAAATATAACTTTTGCACATAAATATTGCATTCATTAATTCAAAACATATACCTACTTTGAGTCAACAACAACTATTTATTGATATAATTATCTAATTATCTGTATAACTGAATCAAGAATTCATATACATTAAATAAACAATAAGACTTAACCAATATAATAAATTATATTGTTTATAAAATAATTTGTAAGCATAATGTTAAAAATTATGATTTTTAGATCAATAAATAGTATCACTGAATTACAAATCCAAATACATGAAACAAATAATAAGACTTCGACAATATAATAATATATATTGTTAATCTAATAAACTTATAATACATGATATTAATAATTTTGATTTTTATATAAATTAACAAAAATTATAAAAACAATAAACTATTATTTATTAATAAGACATATACTCGTACATCAAATATGTTAATTATAAACAACAGTTTGTTGTATTAATAATTTTCTTCATCGGAGATATTTTGATGGTTAAATTTATTAATCTAACGTACTTTTTTTTCAATAATATGTACGTTTTTGGTTCAGTGTACTTAAATCTAAACTTATCTTTATTATATCGTTGATCGAGTATAGTAATAATATAATGGCAATATCTGAAATGGTAAGTTGGTTCAATTATTTATTTTATGTTAATATTTATATAGAAATTCCATTAAAATACGGTATTATCAATAACTATTTAAATTAATTAAAAATGTATAATACAAAATACATAAGGTGCATAATAAGGTGAGTATAATTTAATAATTATTATTAGGGCTAGGGACTTCTAGGAGTTTGCATGTTTTTAAATAATCATTAAAA